CACTCCAAATCAGGTATGTCCTTGTAGCCCTTGAAGTATTTCAATTATAGCTTAAGCAACCCTTAAGTATGCTAGGCGTACTTATGAGTACGCTTAGTGTACATTGCAAAAAGGAGCGCGAAAGGGCAGCACGTACGCTGGGCGTACCAGAAGTACGTTGGGCGTACATGTCGGAGGTCTGAACCCTAATTTTCGGACTTATGACTTATATAAACACCGTTAACTCATTTGAGCCTCACCCTCATTAGCCCCTTTCACCTTCAAACGTCTCTAGAAACCATAATACCATTTGTAAGTACATTTTGAGCTTTAAGAGTGCATTTGTGGTCCTTATAGTGTTCATTCAAGAAGAAGAGGTTGTCAAACAAGCTTGGAGTGGCCTTGGACTTCAAGAATATGCATATAGTCGACCTTGAGGAGCTTCTGGTGGTATAAAGCGTGCACCTTTCCATTTAAATCATTAGATCTAGCTAGGGTTTTCTAGCGTTGTCCTAATTGTTGATTTTGGACCTCCTTTTGTGAGTTGAGCAACTCCAGAAGATGGAAGTGACATATATGAGGTCCTTTGGTCCGTTTGCAACATAAAAATGGAGTCTTAGTGGGTATTTTGACCTCATGCATGGGTTAAGGACCTTTAAAAGGTCTTGATAGGGGTGTTGGTAGCATATGAGTCATGCAAAGGCCTAAAGTTACCAACTTTATGCCCTAGGTCGTCTTAATAAGCCTACATTTGACTTTTGGACGTAAAGGAATCGAGTAATAAGAACTTAATTTAAAAGGTGCTTAATCCGTTAGTATGATAGGGATAATGAAGTGTACGTTGCACGTAAGTCCCAGAGACCCAGTACGTTGCGCGTACTAGGGTGGTATGCTAAGCGTACGCACCACAGATGGGTTTGGATCTCTTTTAGGCCTTTAAACTGTTGGGCCTCATTTTGTTATTGGACCTTCTTGAATTTTAGGAATAGTGGGCTATTTTATCTGTTTTTGTCTATTGGTGATATGGTAGGGCCTTATTGGGCCAAGAGGCCCATTAATGATTTTTGAACCTAGACTTGGGCCCATTAACAAAGAAAGGATATTTGGGCCTTTATGGAAGAACTATGGGTTTGGGTTTCCCTTGATCATATGATGTCCTTACATGATTTAATATTATTATTCAGCACGGGAGGTTACAGACTGTCAGGAGAGTAGCTTTCAGATTTGTCAGACAAAAGGTGAGTGTTTTCACCATACCATTGGATCTAAGGCATCAAGGCCGGCCCATTTTATGATTGTTGGTGTACTCATTATGTAGAGATATGTGGCATGATTATGTCGTAATATGCGGTAGAGATAGCCTTTATGGATATGGTGGAGATAGCTTTATAGCTAACGGTAGAGTTAGTCTTTATGGCTAATGATAACGATAGCTTTTATAGCTAACGATAAAGAGAGCCTGTACGGTTAATGGTAAAGATAGCTTTATAGCTAAGATGATATGTGATATGTGGTAGAGGAAGCTTTTACAACTATTATGATATGTGTTATGTGACTTGTGTGTTGGAGTATGCTCTGGGGAACTGACTAAGCGTTAGCTTACAATTTACAGATTCGTTTCAGGTACAACGGAGCCCAAGGGCAAGGGAGAAGCTTTATGGCGTAATGTGCACTCTCTCAGGCGTTTTTCATGGGACACTCTAATGTTTGGAATAAAAATTGTATTTGACTTATGTTTTGAAAACAATTATAACTAGATTTTCTTAATGTTGGAATTGTGTTTGATTATTCTAAAATGAAAATCTTCGTTTATAAAATTTTGTCGTACATCTGATTTCTTGGCTTCAAAAATTTTTTTTGGATCTGAACAACCTCTTCATCTTTCTGAATCTAAACATTAGAAACCTTTGTTACACAAAATTTTGGAGTTTGATAAATCTGAACATCTTGAAGTTTTGGCTTTCTGTAAGGAATCATTCCTTCAAAAACATCATCAGAACATAAAAATCCATTTGTTTGAGTTCCAACTGAACAAAATGTCTTTACATTCACGAATTATGAATTTTTTCAATGAGATCTATCTTCAGAACATCTAGATTCGGATTCTAAAACTTCTGAAAAACATGAGCCACTTGGCTCCCGCTCAATAAAAACATCTTGAGTCATTTTTTCTTCAGAAACACAAGGAACATTATGAACTTCACTAAGAACATGTTCCTTTTTCTTTTCAGCTATTTTCATCTCCAAAATTTGTTGTTTATTTTCTCTATCTAAATGTCCATAGATAATATGAAATTGTTCTACTATTCTCTCATTCTTTTGTAATTCACATTCATTAACACGTGAGTATTCATTTATTTTCTCATCAAGAAAAATAATTATATAACTCAGTAACATCCCTCAATGTAAAATCACTAAGAACATGAAGCAACGTCACTTTGTCGGCACCATACATTGGTTTTGTTACCTTTAATCCAAGTTCTAAAATGAAGTTACAGAATAAAAGATCCATTAGATCTTGAACAAGTGACAAAACTTGAAGAGAGATAAAGTAGATCTGATAATAATTATAGAGAGAGAAAACAGATCTGAGATGATTTTTCGAGAGATAAAGTAGATCTAAACTAAAAAATTCGAATAAATATGAAAACTTTTTTCTAATTCTCTTCCAAAACACAATTAAAGAATAAATCAGATAAAATAATGAGTAGAAGGTAACATATTTGAACAGGATTTAGCAATAAAACGAGATATTAAACTTTTTCTTTTTAGAAAACTTTAAAAAATTGAAGAACAAGGTGAGATTCATGATAAAATATCACCATAAACAAGATCGATTCTTGTAATAATTGTTGAGATCTACAAAAACCCGCTTTGATACCACTTGTTAGGAATAAATTTGAGATGACGAATGTGGAATATCAAGAACAATCAAGAATCAATCACCATTATATGCAAGTAATCTCATAAAGGTTTTTGTGTATATTGATTATGATATGAACGTACAAAGAAAACTCTAATAAGGAAAAAGCTTACACCAAAATCTCACCTAATGATTATTTATAGGGAACATAAAATATTTACCATAAATATAAAACCAGTACCTTAGAAGAGCTCAATATAGAACTTCTACTGTAAAGGCACCGTAGGGAATCATAAAACGATTAACCTTAAAAGGCTTCCCTAAAGCCAAACATGCCAAATCAGTTTCAATATCTCAAATACTCAACAAGTCTTTGGCAATTTGGTGATGAAATCTATGGTGACATGTTCCCATTTCCACATGGGAACTTCCAAAGGCTACAGCTTTCCATCCAACCTCTGATGCTCGGCCACGACCATCCTGTAGGTTAAGCACCACTCCATGTACCAGGCTATCCCCCTATTAATACACGACCACCAATAACTTAATATCAAATCCTGATACATCTTGGTGGCCCTCAGGTGTATAGACAACCAAACTTATGAGCCTCCTCTAATATTGTGTGCCTGATCCCACTAGAAAATGGAACCCATACACGTCCGCACTAGGTCAACAGTCGTCAACTATCACTGAAAACTGTGTCGACCCACCCTTAATCCTCTCCGGTTTCAAGTTCTCCTTTTTAAATGCCTCTGCATGTGCCTCTCTGATCACATCCAACACTGGGGGGAGTCAATGGATATCCTCATTCACAACTCCCCAACTGAAGATACAACCAACTAACAACTCAATGCATCTTCTCACACCCCCAACCGAGGCGATCGAACACGTCGGGTTGTGCGACTAAGTTCATGGATCATAGGTAAACTAAATATACCGCACAAGTACAACAATGAAAAAAATAGCATTCATATTCCATCTTGATATTTGAATGCAAAGTTTTTTTTACAAATAATAATGATACATGAATTGCCTTAATAGATAGGCATATAATACAATAGAAAGGAAACTAGCTCACCTGTAATCCAATCCATCTTGAATGTTTGTTTAAAGATTTCCTAAGAATACATGTACTTTTGAGGGTCAAAACAAGGCTGGTAAGTGTTACAGGTTGTCTGCTAAAAGGAGTAATACTTTTAATAAGATAAAGAATTCTTATCTTTATATGAATAACAATAGTTGAAATAGTTTTTACAATCCATACTTTAAAGTGTGTTTGTAATAAATACTTGAAAGACAAAATGTATCTTTTGTATAAGTAAATCCATACTTTAAACTGTGTTCGCAGTAAACGTTTGAATATCCTTGAAAACCAAACTATCATGTTAAATAAGTAATTTCATACTTAAAATAGTTCTGAAAGCAACCAAGCCTATGGTAGTAGTGAGAGAGAGTGAGTGAGAGTGAGAAAGAGACAGAGGTTCTGGTTAATGTTTATATTAAGTCCTATACCCGAGCTATATGACTTGAGTGTTACCCCTACAACGCTTCATTGGACGTTGCAGTAAAAATTGAAGACTCCTATCACCCATTTTGATTGATTGGTCGAGGTTTGTAGCTAGCAACTGCGGGTAGTGATGTCAACCCCATATAGATCTGTACATTTGTTCCTCGCTCCGAAGATTAACGGTTACAATATTGTGGGTATGCTAAGTGTTTAGACTCCGCTAATGAATAACATCTAACTAAAAAGCCCTTAACTAAAAAGTTTGTGAATAACTCTCAGTCCTAACTTAATTGTGATTAAGTCACTAGACATAATGAATATCATTGTATAAGTTTTATAAAAATCCGAATATGTTTAACATGTATGTACAAGTGTGATGTGCTCACTTTATAAAAATGAATCATTCAAATTAATGAACATATGTACATGTATAAATATTGTGTACTTAAACATATAAACAGGTATGCATAGTAATAATTTGAATCTTTGAAATACTACAAAATTTTATAACGTGCTTGTTATAATATACAATGTCACATAAATATCATATTTTTTAATATCATTTAGTATTTGTTGAGTGAACTAATTATTTCACGATAAAATGGCCATAATATGTATAAGAAAAGTTTATATGAGTTTATCTATAACAATATGGTAAATTGTTAAATAATAATTATATAAGCTTGATTTATTGTATTTTCGCATATAAAGTAAACTGATTTGTATAAGCACGTGTATCACCCCCCCCCCCCCTAACGCGAAATAATTAAAATATTAAAAAGGGGCTGTAAGCACCCACACATTCGTAGCGTGGATTCGAGTTGTTCGGAGTTTGTTAATTTTTGGGAAGCTCGACGTGAGAAACCACAAATCCACCAATCTTGAACTTTGAAATACTCTTAGGACCGTTTCGTAACAAATACAAACAATTGGGGGTTGTTTTGTAATTTAATTATCCAAAATAGGACTCCTTTTGGTTAAAATAATTTAAAGAAGGGGCTGAAATGGCTATTTTGATTCCAAGTTTTAATATTGGGATTTATTTTGTTAAAAAGAATCAAAGGAGGGACCTTTTTTAATAAATGGGTCCGATATTCATGTATTGGGACTGGTTTCGAATAATTGTTTCAATAATAGGGTAATTTGGTTATTTTATCAATGTTGAATAAAGCTAGGGCTTTTATGAAAAGGAATCAATGGAGGGACTGATTGTGTTAAGTGGTCGAAACTTATCAAAATTAGGGCTTTTAAGTCCCGTTCCCTTTTTGTTGATCGGGAAAATAGAAAAAGGAATGGCAGTATAAACGAAGGCGACGAGAGGTGTGAAGGGGAAAGACGATCGGCAACGAAGGAAAAGGGGATACGGGAGCAACGAAATCAGATGGCGAGAAGGAAGGTCGCAGGCGCGCGGCTACTACTCCGGACGTCATGGCCGATCACGAAGAGGGAGACGGCTCCGGTGCTTGGCCGAACCGAAGGAGGATAAGAGACGAAAGCAGCGAGGCACTCTCTTTCTCGTCCGGAGATTGCAGACTCATCGCATCCGAGTGGCATGCTCCGGTGGTGGTCTAGACCGAAGAAAAGGAACGGTCCATGGGTGTCGCGAGCAGCAGCAGCGACGAGGTTATACCTTCGGGGTCTGGGGTTGTCGAGGACAGAAGAGGAATAAGGCGAGGGCAAAGTGTTGTTTGGTCGGCAATCGCAATGTTTCGCCCTCATTGACAGTTCTGATCAACAATAGGTAAGAAGTTTCTTTTGGGATTTTGTTTGTTTTAACATGAATCTATGGAATGACCAAAATAGATATTTGCTTTTGACAGAAAATCGATAGGCTTAAGTGGGTGCTTGGTTTTGGTTCTTGACAAGAGATAAGGAAGGACGAGGGAGGGAGAGGGAATGTGGTGAATGGTGGTGGAGGTTGTAAACAGTGGTGGGAGGGGGTGTTGTGTGATGGGTCTGGCAAGGATGGGAGGGATGGGATGTCACAGGTCGTCTTCTTCCTTTTCTTATTTTGAATGTAAATGTTTAATGAATAGGTTTAGAATTTAGATGGGGTTTTGGGTTTGATTGTTTGTGAATCAGCAGTTGATGACTAGAAGCAATATTTTCCTTATAGCTGTGTGTGAGCTGTGTGTGCAGGTGAAAAAAAAAACGTGGGAAAAAAAGTATAGCGAAGTGCAAGAATCCATTTCAATATGTATCTAATGTGTGTATTTGATTTAATTATGTGTGCATTTGTATAAATATGGAAATTTGTTCATAATGCCTTTTTTTTACATAATATTATGTAATATGCCTTTGTTTTTTATAATAATAGTAGATCTTATTATTATTATTATTATATACATATATTAAATTATAACAACTCTCGGAACAGTAAAATTTGAAACTTTTGATTTTAACCACGTCACTTTGGACAAAATTCCTATGTCACCCTTCTACTTTTACAACATCTGAAAATTTAATTCCTTCCCACGCCCCTTTCTTTGTGAATCGAATGTGACTGCCGTTGTTTGTATCTCCCATCGACTAACAGATGCATCTACCCTGTTGTGTGAAAAATTCTGGTTTGTCGTTAGTTCTTTGAATTACGTAATGATTTTTGATCGATTAATCCTCTTTCTGATTTTTCTCTGTTTTTGATCGTTATCTTTGACGGATTGTGTTTGACAATCAACGATTTCCATTCACGAATCAAGATTACATATCTCCACGATTTTCATCCAACAACTGTTGTGTGAAAAATTCTGGTTTGTCGTTGTCGTTAGTTCTTTGAATTACGTAAGGATTTTTGATCGATTGATCCTCTGTCTGATCTTTCTGCGTTTTTGATCGATATCTTTGATGGATTGGGTTTGACAATCAACGATATCCATTCAGGAATCAAGATTAGATATCTCGACGGTTTCCATCCAACAATCGACAGCCTATCAACAAATACCGTCAATTACCACCACCAACATCAACAGACTGTCTGAGAAATTTCGGTATGTCGTTCAATTTAGGGTTTTGGTTCAATTGCTCGGTTCTTTGAATTACGAATGATCCATCTGTGTATATGATCGATATGTTTCAATTTCCTTAGGATTTTGGTTCCATTCACGAATCAAGATTCGATTTCTCCACGATTTCCATCCACAAAGCAATAATCGATTTATGTCAACAACTACCGTCAATTCCGCCACCAACCATCAACAACCTGTGTGAGAAATTTCGGTATATGCTTCGTTCTTTCAATTTCCTTGGATTTTGGTTTACTTGCACCTTTCTAATCATTCTGTCTTTTTGAGCGACATCTACGACTTTTTGGGTGTGACTATCAACAACCCGTCCAAGAATCAAGATTAAGTTTCTATCACCAACAACATCTTCCATCAATTACCGCCACCATAAGCCTGTTCTACGTTATTGTTTACAAAGGTATGTTTTGAATTTCTGTATAATTGATGTTGGTTCTGTTTTTCTTAAACAAATCCTCCCATTCTTATCCTAAGCCATAGTTTCCAAGTTCATTCAATCTAAATAAAACGAATCCTCCCAACTTATCCTAAGCCATAGTATCCAACTTCATTCAATCTAAAACTATTTAGACGGATTAAAACTAATATATGTATATAATGTTAACCATGCAATTTCTGAAATGACAATAATAATAATTCCATTAATTTTTCAATCTACAAAGAGTCTGTTCAATAGTTCTAAACGATTGGAAATTAACACAGTTAATGCAAAAAAAATAAAAGATGATTCTACCGATTACCAAAAAAAAAAAAATTAAAATGTTTTACGTCTCAACACTGTATATGACAATTGCAAGAAAAGAGACAGCATTATATATGACAACTGAAGAAAAGAGTTAACTAAGTTTGTAATCTATAAAGCTATTACATTTCAATTCCTTTTTCTTAATCATTTTTTGCAATTCCAACATTATCAACTCAAAGAAAACTTGCAAAGTTCTCAATTTTCCTGGAAAATATATTCACATCATTAAAAATTCCCAAAATGCCCTGTAACTTTTAATGAAATTCATAGAAAAACTTGTCAGCTTCTCCATTGTGGTGCAAAAGTTCTTCACATCCTTTGAATATTAATTGCATCTTTTTTAAACCAAATGTTCCTCCTATAAACAATTAAAATTAAAAATTTCCCAAAATACCCAGGACTCTTTATCGCATATATAAATTATCCAACAATACCTTTTATAAATAACAACTGACAAAAAAAGAGACATCACTATTAACATCTCATTTAAAATATGATAATGAAGTTCCATGTTTTTTTTTTGGAAAAGCCCTTATGCCAATTAGATTGATATCAAACTTTTAAAGATAAAACCAACTGCATAAAAATGACGCTTTCTCTTTTATATCACATGTTAATTGGCTATGCCAATAAAATGTTACAATGTAGATATCAAGAGGTATTTCGATCATGCTTCCCACATCTCAGGTTTTTTTAAAAAAATTCACAATATAAAATTTAAGATTAAGATGACATGGCACTATTTCTAAATTTATCAAAATCTGAATTTTAAAGGCAATAATTTTTCAATCTACAAAGAGTGTGTGCATTTGTTCTAAACGATTCGAAATTAACACAATTAATGCAAAAAAATAAATGAAGATTCTACCGATTACAAAAAAATTAAATAATACAAAAATAAAAATATTCAAATGTTTTAGGTCTCATCATTGTAAATGACAATTGCAAGAAAAGAGATAGGATTGAACACTGTATATGACAGTTGAAGAAAAGAGAAAGGATATGTAAACATTTTAAAATGAAATTCTATGTAAAGCAAGTATGAATCAAAAATAATGAGTTTACATGTAGTTTATATGAAAAAAAAGAATATTACATTTTGACCAAAGGACAATAAAGCCCTTAACCAAATTTGCAAATACAAGACGGAAAATCCATTTTGACCAAAGGAGAATAATGCCCTTAACCATATTTGCAAATACTGAGAAAATTTACCGAATACATTTTCTAATAAAAAATTTCAATACCTTTTAAACTATTTAACTTAAACATAAATTATACACATTAGTAAATTTATGAAAGAAAGTTTATGTAAAAGGTATGTTTCTCATTACATTCTATAGTACCCATAACCATTACTCAATAAAAAAAACTACGTAGCTGTAATGTATAATATACATATAGTATATTGCTATTTTTTGGATCCTCTCCTTCCAAGTTCATTCAATCTAAAAATAATTTCTAAAAAATACAACATACCTCTAACAATCAAGTTATATTACAGTATTTTTAAATTTTAGACAATTTAACATACATTTCTGCAATGACAATAATGCCACTAACCTTTTTTTTTTTTTTTTGAATATTTTACCTAATAACAACTAAAGAAAACCCTAATCAAATTCTATGATTTAATATTGCATTTTCACATATCAAATAATGCACTAAAGCGTATTTAGTAATGCTAGAAGAAAAAATTTACCTACAAAAAATAACATAACATGTTATTATATTATATAACACAAAGAAATGAAAAATATGATACAAATCTAAAATAATTCCATACAACAGCTCTAATCAAGTAACAGATCAACATATTTATAAGGTTCTAAGGTAAATTTGGTCATGAATAAACAAAACTATGTAACAAAAACCTTTTCCTAGATAACAAGCCCCATATGATACCAGGAATTTGTCTATTTGTCAATTTATTCACAAGACCTAATAGTATCGATTCAGATGACTTCTAACAAATACACATGGAGCCTTTGCATTCAACTATAACTGTTAATATAGAATGGTAAAATTTTTGTTTATATCCTTTTCATATTCACCTCTACCTAGTAGCTATACAAAGATTCCATCGATTAATACAATCATACAATAGCCTATTAATCTCTTCTAAATGTGTGTTAAAAATACTCCAACAATTGGTAACTAAACAAAGTAGTTAGTTTCAAAAATACCTTTTTTGAGTCTAATTTTCAATTTCATTTACATATAAAGTATGTAAGCGTCAATAAATTTTGATTTCCATTTCAGTAAAGCCTTCTTCACATGCCTCCAAAACGGCGACATATGGCTTCTACTTCCAATACAATAGTCCCCCGTCAAATACGTCATTCACGCAGGAGTTCACTTTTAGTGGAGATACCAGCGTTGCCTTTTTATTATGACTGTGGAAATTGTACCTGTGTATGTGAGTATTGTGGAGCTTATTTTTGGTATCAAGAAAGAGTATTGTATTTATCCAGAGCCAATCATCCACAATATACAAAATGTTGTAAGTCGGGTAATGTAGTTCTTCCTTACCCTCTTCATCCACCTGATGTGCTTATGTAATTCTACGGAGATGATCACTTCATGCGTAACATAAGAGCATATAATTCCATGTTCTCTATGACGTCTTTTGGTGCAAACGAAGACGACTCAATCAACAAAGGTCGTGCACCATATGTGTTTAAGGTTAGTGTTCAGATTTACCATTGGATAGGCTCTTTTTATCCTCAAGACATTCATCAACCCCGTTTTCTCCAATTGTACATGTGTGATACTGAAAATGAGGTCGCTAATAGACTTCATTCTTTTCATGATGGGGAAGTACTTTTGTCTGTAGAAGTTGTAGAATCCTTAAGTCATATGTTACGCACACATAATGAGTATGTTCGTACATTTAAGACTGCGAAAGAAATAGCTCAGTCAATGAATTTAGATTCATATGGTGTACATTTATTTAATGTTGTACTTGACAGAAGATATGGGCCACCAGCCCCTGGAACTTTAGGGTGTATTGTTTGTGGTGATGATGTTACTAACGCTGTCTATGACATTGTCGTCTATTCAAAGTCTGGGTCACCTCAACGTGTCAGTAAGCTTCATCCTACTTACATGCCTTTGCAGTATCCATTACTAATCCCGTATGGTGAAGAAGGATGGTCTCCTAACTTGCATCTACATATTAAGTCTAACAAAAGGTTAACAAATAATATGTATTACAGTTATCAAATTCATGATCGACACACGTACTCTCTTATTTTACGAGCACACTGTCTTTTCCACCAGTATTTAGTATATAACATCCCGGAATCGCAAGAGTAGAGTTGATGGGTTAAAAGTGTAAGTTTTGGAGGGCAACTCGGCGAGTCACATGGATGGACTCGGCGAGTCAGGTCGCGACTTTGGTCGCGTGTCAAATGGCCTACTCGGCGCGTCCAAAGATGGACTCGGCGAGTAGGTGCTGGGCGAAGAAAAACCCTAAATCCGGGGAATGAGCCCTATATAAAGATCATTATGTTCCTCCACAGCCTCCTTGATCCCCCCTTGAGTCCCAGAAACCCTAATTCCATGGAGGAACCCCATTATTGAGCAATTGGAGCTTGGAGAGGTGTGGGTTGAAGAAATCTTGAAGGAGAAGAGGCTTGGATCAAAGGGCTTTGCTTGGATTTGAGTTTCATTGCTGTTGAGGCATTCTTTGGAGGTAATACTTTCGTTCTTGGGCTGTGTTTTCCTAGATTCTCATTTTGGGGTTGTGTAGGAAGCTTAGTTGTGTGACATCTTGAGTTTGAAGGATGGATCTGAGGTTGCTACCTCAGATCTGGAGTGGAGAAGATCTTAAGAACATTAAAGCCCCTGTTCTTGTGTTGGTAATGGAGCTATCATGTCCCAAACCCTAGTTCTAAAGTGAATAAGTCCTAGATCTCTTTAGATTCACGCAAAGTTTGCCACTTTACGTGATGGATGGGTTGTAGGAGGTTGGATCTATGTTTTGGATAAATTGCATGGCCTGGAGTGCTTCTGAATTGATTCAGATCAGGTTGACTCGGCGAGTCACATGGGTGGACTCGACGAGTTGCTTGAAGATGGCCTGGAACTTGGCGAGTTGGAAGAACAACTTGGCGAGTAGGTTGAAGATAGCCTTAGACTCGGCGAGTCTATTCTTGGACTCGGCGAGTCTTGTCGAAGAGTCCCAATATTTCCTGGTTGAGTCGAGAATCGGTGAGTCAAGGGATGACTCGGTGAGTTGGGTACGAGTGGACTCAGAGTTGTTGGACTCGACGAGTCTTGGGGTGACTTGGCGAGTTGGGTCGCTGATTGAAGGAAGTTCTGAGCATAGGGACTCGGCGAGTAGGGTCAGTCAGGGGTTGACTTTGACTTTGTCCAAGGTTGACCAGTTGTCTTCCAGGGGTATTTTGGTAATTAAGGGTATTTATTGAATTGAATGTTTCGGTGTTCAGTGGAGGAGTTCGTGTCAGGGTTGGAGCAGCGGGATCTTATCCTTTCAGCCGACAGTTTCGAGGTGAGTTATCCTCACTATATCAACAGGGTCTAAGGCACCAAGGCCGGCCCTTATCGGATTGAGATCCGGGTAGTTGTTATTATTTTGTTGTTGTGATATGCTTGCATCCTGAGAGTTAGGACGGTATATGTTAGAGACCTGATTGAGATCGGTATCCTGAGAGATAGGGAGATGCTATGCTAATGACTTGTTAGGTCGGTATCCTGCTTAGAGTATGTTATGCTATGTGATCTGCTAGATCGGCTTGTTTGAATGTGAACTGTTATATGATTATATGTTTATGTGTACATGGTTGTTTGGACTGGAGATGGGTTGAGGCGGTCCTGCTTTGTGCTGTAGGCCAAGATACTCAGGGCGGACCGGTTGTTCTGAAGGCCCAGCGAGCGGTCCGGATATGCTGTAGGCCCCACGCGGGCGGACCAGACGTGCCGAGGCTCGGAGAGTGGACCAGGCCGACTGAAGGCCCGATGCGGGCGGATCAGTCATACTGTAGACTCAGAGAGTGGACCAGGTGAGTTGAAGGCCCAGTGCAGGCGGACCAACCACACTGTAGACTCGAAGGACATGACTAGACCTGGAGGATGGATCTGGTGGACTGAAGGCCCGAAACGGCAGACCAGTCACACAGTAGACCCGATATGCATGGCTGTTCTATGTTCTGTTATGTTATGTATGTTTTATATGTTATGGGCCGGAAAGCAATATGTTTTGGACCGGAAGGTCATAGCCTGGAAGGGCGTATATGTGGTTGGTGTTTTGGGGGTATCTCACTAAGCTTTCGGGCTTACAGTTGTGGTTTAATGTTTTTTTTCAGGTTCTTCAGGAAACTGTAGCAAGGCGAAGGCGTGATCGTACCGCTCCTCATGATTTTGAAGCAATGCGATTCTGGAAATACTCTAAACGATTTGTATTGAAAACCTTTTTGTAAACAATTTAATGAAATCGGGTTGTTTTTGAAAATTTTAAATTGGTTGTATTTTTCGGTCGTTACATAGTAGATGCATATACTTGCATTGAACAATCTAGGCTTGACTTTATTGAACACCATCAGCAACAATTACGAATAGAGTACATCAGCGGTGTTTATGACGCTTTGTCCAGAGGTGATTCAGACATTTAGGTCATTGGAAAGCGTGTATTTCTACCTGCAACTTTCGTTGGGGGACCTAGGTATATGTATAAACACTATCAAGACGCTCTTGCCGTATGCAAGGTTCATGGTAAGCCACAATATTTCATCACTTTCACTTGCAATGTTAAATGGCCTGAGTATAGAGGATACATGGATGCTATTGGTTAACGTGATATTCAAAACAGACTAGATATCATTGCACGCATCTTTAAAATCAAAGTTCATGCTTTCATTAACTTCCTTAAAGAGGACAAAACTTTTGGAGATGTTAGTGCATGTAAGTTTTTCTACTCTTATTTCATTATTCCTATTTATTGCCTTCTATTCCTTTATGTCATATATAACATCATTATGAAACGTTTGTGTAGTGCCATACAATAAACGTTTGTGTAGTTGATTTGATGCTCACATCAATGTTGAATATTGTGGTTGGAATATGATGATTAAGTACTTATTTAAGTACATATCAAACGGGGTTGATCGCGTTCGTTTCACTCTTCAAACATCAGAGGCAAATACTCCTACTACTTCCTCTACCATACCTGTCACAGTAAATGAAATCAAGTCGTTTCTTGATGGTCGGTACATATGTCCACACGAAGCAGCATGGCGCATCCTCAATTTCCCCATTCATGAACGAGATCCACCTGTACAAGTCTTGGCCGTCCATTTGGATGGGATGCAACCTACTATTTTCAAAGAAAGTATTCAATTAAGCTCCTTAATTGATAACCCAGGTTTTGGTGTTACCACTTTAACGGAATGGTTGAACAATAATCAACAGGATGGTCGAGGAATTGACTTGACATACAATGATTACCCTTCTAAATATAGTTGGGACACCAAAGATAAGAGATGGATTCATAGGACTACCACAACAAATACCACCATTGGCAGACTTGCATATGTACATCCAACAGTTGGGGAGTTATTCTATCTACGAATTTTAGTATTCCATCAAAGAGGATGTAAATCATTCTATGACATTAGAACCGTTCGTGAATACACGTACTCAACTTTTCGTGATGCATGTGAAGCATTAGGGTTAACCGGTGACGATAAGGAGTGGCTAACAGCATTTGAAGAAGCATCGACTTGGGCAACCTCATCTCAACTTCGTTCTCTATTCTGCCATCTACTTTTGTATTGTGAAGTAGGAAACCCTCTTTTGTTATGGGAAACTGCAAAACCTAAAATGGGCGATGACATTACCCATTCATTCACTTCCAATTCTACATATCCAAATGTAGTTCTACATGTTAATACACTAGAACAACAAATACTTCTCGAAATTCAAAAGACACTACTAGCTTCAACACCTTCCAAATCACTTGCTGACTTTGGATTGCCAATGCCATCTCCATCTCTTCTTTCCATTCTCAGAAATCGTCTTATTCTTGAAGAGACTAATTATGATACAAATCTCTTAATTTCTCAAAATACATCCATGGTATCACAATTGAATCCAGATCAACTTACAATTTATGAAAAAGTTGTGGATGCTGAACAAAACAAAAAGCAACTGCTATTATTTGTATATGGATCTGGTGGTACAGGAAAAACTTTTTTATGGACAACTATACTTTCATATTACAGATCTAAGGGAAAGATTATACTTGTTGTTGCCACCTCAGGCATTGCATCCCTTTTGTTGCCTTCAGGTCGTACTGCTCATTCTAGATTTGTTATTCCAATTGACTTTACAGACAAGTCTTCCTGTAATATTAAAAAAAAAAAAAAAAACGCAGCTTGCAGAGCTCCTAAAGAGGACTTCTATGATCATATGGGATGAAGCTCCAATGAGTGATCGTCATTGCTTTGAGTTTCTTGATAAATCACTAAAAGATGTCCTTGAAGATGATAACCATCTTTTTGGTGGGATGTCAATGCTCCTAGGAGGTGACTTTCGACAAACTCTTCCTGTTCAACCTAAAAGCAGAAAATCATAAATAATTGGCCTAACTCTACCCAATTCCTATCTATGGTCACATTTTACGGTATTCAAATTGCATCATAATATGCGTTTATCCCAACCAGTCAATTCAAATAAGGATGTTAATCAAATATCACAGTTTGCTTCATGGCTTCTCGATATTGGAAATGGAAATATCGGAACACCAGACAAGAATGATCCAGAAAGCACAAACGTTATACAAATACGTCATTGTTTCGTTATCGAATCAGGAGACAACGATTTAGAATCACTAATACATTTTGTATATGGCAAAGATATAATTTCCAATCCATCACCTGAAGAGTTATCTGTTAGAGCCATTATTTGTCCGAAAAATGAAACAGCTGATCAAGTCAATGCTTTAATTCTATCAAAAACTAATAGTCAAGGGGTAGTATACAACAGATGTGATTCTATTAAGTCACAAACCCATGATAGCTTAGAATTAGATACCTTATATCCCTAAGATTATTTAAACAATCTTCACTTTTCTGGTATTCCTTCACATACATTAAATTTGAAAGTTAATACCCCAGTTATGCTAACGAGGAATATCAATCAACGAGAAGGTCTTTGTAATGGAACACGTTTGATTGTTACACAATTATTACCATCTGTGATTGAAGCTTCCATAATAACATGAATATCTGTTGGGAAAAGGGTGTACATTCCAAGAATAAAATTTGTACATAATACCTCTGACCTACCTTTTATATTTATCATAAAACAATTTCCTCTTAAAGTGTGTTATGCAATGACTATAAACAAAAGTCAAGGCCAATCTCTTAAAAAGGTAGGTTTATACCTCACAAACTCTGTTTTCACACACGGACAACTATATGTGGCTTTGTCAAGAGCTACCTCACCAGATTCGATAAAGATTCTACTACAACAAGAAGATACATTACCATTCAATTGTACCATAAATGTCGTCTTCAAGGATTTGTTAGCAAGAGTTAATATGCAAGAGGTTATTACACCACATTTATGTTTTCAAATCAATCTAATAGCTAAGATAATTCTATCACCCAAAATCTCATCTTTTCTACATGTTTTGCAATTATACTTGGAGTAAATTACTGAAATCGTCCCTGTGGTTTGGTCAAAATTGCACGTTTAGTCCCTAACTTTTTATTTGCACTATGATCGTCCCTGTGGTTTGATTTTGTCGCGTTTTTCGTGCCTATGGTTCGGTAAAAAATTCATGTTTGGTCCCTAACTTTATGTATGTAAGGGATGAAAAATGCAACAAAATCAAACCACAGGGACAAAAACGTGACAAATAAAACCACAGGGATGATCTGAGTGTAAAAAAATGTAACAGACCAAACGTGCAACTTTAACCAAACCATAGGGACAATTTCAGTAATTTACTCTTATAGTTATTATAAACATCTAATACCTAAAATATATGGTAGGAAATAATGATAATATTTTTTAAACTATTATAACAATGCTTTTTTATAATTGCAGAGCAATCTCCTCAAACATGGATAGAATATCAAACCTCCACTTTGGCTCACCAGGAAATTCACTTGAAGTCCGTGTTTTACGAAAATGGACACTACAATTCAGAAAGGACGAGACATGGTTTATAGTGATTGATGAGCATGTAAGGATATATATATATATATATATATATATATATATATATATATATAATTTATAATTCACTCTTATACAAAGTAATTCATATATAAAACACCCTAACACATTTATTTGACCCGGGAGATACAATTCAGCTACTTGCTCGAAAGACAAAACAAGGATCGATACAAACTTCATTATTAGTCACTCGATGTTATCGTATTAAGGACTATACATGCACTGAGCCAGACAAATATCAGAAGGTCTTAGATCACCCAGTACACATTAATATTGGTGAAGCATCAACAATTGAGGAAATACCAAATCGCAATACACTTCCACTAACATGGTTCTGCTTTAGTCCAAGATCACACTTTCAAATGATAGCAGACAAAATCTTAGAGCATCCAGGTACATTTATAACATCAACCCATATATCATTACTTTAATGCAAAAAATTTGTAATAGTCTAATTTGTCACTAATATTATGCTTACAATTGCATTCAGATTTCGTAGGCGTACTCATCAACATGAAAGATCGAAAAAAAAAAAGACAAGGAACCATTCATGCTTATGACTTTAACAGATGAAAAATAAGTACATATTCTTCATAACAAAAAATATTACCTAGATATTTCTTTTAATTATTATTAATGACAAAATTGGTTCAAGTGCGGAGGAGATTACCATACTCTTATGGAAGGAATGCATAGATTCGCCAGACAAATTCAATCGAAATGCCCTTACATCAAACTCTAACACAGTGGTACTAGCTTTCACCAATCTCAAATCCACTATGTACAATGGTAAGTAATAACAAAGACCCTTATTATAATACTCACTTCGTACTATGCTAAAATACCATCTTACTACACAAGACGATTAACGTTGACAAGCACCAGCGCAACACACATGTACGTCAATCCCAATTTACCAGAAACGGACACTCTCATTACAAGGTATGTTATACTGCTTCTACCAAATCTTAACCATACTTAACCAAACTATAAACTACATAGTAAACAACATATATTCACTAACAAGTATCCATTAATACAGATTTGGTACCCAATTTCACTCAAAATCATCACCAAATGTGATAAATACTACATTACAACGATTAAAGAGCTCAGATTTCTCTCAAATAATGGTAATTAGTTTCTTATGTATAATACTACTATTTCATACATAACAATCACTAACATACATCTATAACATGTTCAAGGACAATGTATATGTTATAAAGACCATACTATCTGATTTCACATTCAAAGATGTATGGTACCACGTTACATGTACCACATGTGGTAAATCAGCACACAAAAAAGGTGATGGATGGTTTTGTGTTTCCCATGGGCCCATAAATGAACCAAAACTTTTGTAAGTACTCCCTCTCATGTTTACCATATATATATATATATATATATATATATATATATATATATATATATATATATATATATATATAAATCACACTTAAAATTACTTCTTTTTCCACAGATATAAAATCTCAGCAGTACTCACAGACAATACAGATACCACAACAATTTTCATGTCTAATGAAGCAACCTGTAGTCTACTAAATGCGACTGCATAAGAAATCATAGATGGCTTTCCCAGTCAAGATAGAAAAACTTTACCTAAACCACTCGAACGTTGTAAAGGGTTGACAAAGAATGTCTATGTAGAATGTTCAAAACTTTCTTCCATCAGAAATATCCGTTTCACAGTCACCACAATCAAATACATAAAAACACCACAACCAACAATCTTATCAACACAAAAAACACAAACTACACGTTCAACACCAATGGAACAACAAACCGCAACAACTATGGAGTCCCTCACCCCTACTAAATCACGTGAAACTGGAAAACGCCTCCAAATGGAAGATACAGGTAAAAATACTTATAGCAGTTTATTTAATTCATACATGTAATGAACATCTTACATTTGACAGATACACCAAAAAAACCACGTCCCAGATGAGAAAAATACAGAAACCACGGCGAAGCAGACGAAGGAACACATGCCAAAAAGCAATGAAACTATTTGATCTTATCATAACATACTTAGAGTTAACCTAAACTCTCTTTATATAGCTTTATGTCCATATTATAAACTACAATCCACAAATTATGTTTATATACAATAATCTGTAAATATTCAATAAACTATGTCATATTCTGACAAGAATTGTTTCTATAGATTTGTTTGATATCTAATGACATTATCTTTTCAATTTGTGGTTTTTAGTGTGTTTATTGTTATGTTTATAGTTGTCTGTGTGACAAGTGTTGTTATATATTGAACCATTTTTGTTCATGTTGTACAAAATAGAAGTTTGTTATACGTTGCAAAAGCAATACCTTACGACATCATTCGATTTTGAATCCATTCAATATTTCACGTCATAAACAAGTTATTTCGCGATTTAAACATTTGCATGGGTAACGTTTTTTTCTTCAACTATATACATCTATCATAACCAACACAACTAACAATACTAAACTTTATGACTACTAAAATTTCACCATATAACTCAATAAATATTCACCATCTATATTTTGACTAATGTCTTTTAACTCATTTCTCGTCCAAAGTTAGAATTTCAATTTTCGTCATCAACACCCAATAGTGCTCTATTACTACTACCAAACGTCTGACAATAACGTGACTCGTGGTTCACCACTGGTTAATACACTAGTTATTATTAATTTACATCCAATTTGAGTTTTGTATCGACAATTATAGCAACGTACTTTCTTCCAATGTAAAATTGCATTTATTGATTTACAAATATATATTTTTTGTTTATGTTTTATATGACCGTCATATATGTACATAATTCACACTATATCAAATTTCTTTCTTTGACTTTATATATACATAAATTCACACTACATCAAATTTCTTTGACTTTATATATACATAAATTCACACTACATCAAATTTCTTTAACTTTATATAGTAATCTACTTAAAGGTTAAAGTTTCCTCAGCTTCTATTAATCTATTTCTTAAAATTATTTAATCATTTCCTGCATAGCTAATAATACACTTTACTAGTTTGTCAACAATTGTTTTCGTCAGTTTCTTAGGTTTACCACATACCAAATTTCAACTACATAGTATCATTATCATTACGTGTTTTATATATAACTATATTAAGTATGAAGCTATTCCAATTTGTACAAGAAATTTATTTATCAACCTCAAAACAATTAACATACATGTACTCCCCAAATATAAAATCTAAAAAGGACGAGGCTAAAGAACTCACATAAATCGGCATTATATATATATATATATATATATATATATATATATATATATATATATATATCTTCTAATAAAACACTCTTAAAAATGCCACATGGCACCTTTCTACACAATGCTTCTGCCACATGACACTTTTTTAAAGCCTCAGCTAATGTTTCCCGCTTATATATTTTTCTCTTTCTTTTGGGTATTTCAATTCTCCCATAAAATCAGGAATCTTCAAAACTAATAACCATATCTTTCTCCAAAATTACTGGTACCTTGAATCTCTCTAAAGAAATAAATTTACATTCGTGAGCAACTCCGGCTCTACCCTCTTGTCGCTGCTCTACCTTCACCGCCATTTTATGCACAAATCGTTTGTTTAAGCATAACTCTTTTTCTCTCCAAACCTCTTTTGATCTATCAAACCGTACTATAAAATCTCACAATCTGGCCTTCCATCTTCAAGCCGAGAAATGAGTTACTAATAACCAATATTTTGGGGTTGATTAGCAAGATTCAACGAAATTATGAAGGTAATCGCTTCCAACTTTTAATCTCTCTATAAATTGTAATCCACCGTATTCCTTTTTACTGATCAATCGTTGAAAGTTTTTGAACCCTGAAGTTATTTGATCTAGAAGTAGTGAGTTATTTGATTCTTTTAACCCTAACATCGATCAAATTTCATATTTGGTTTCGTTTAAATTGAAAATTTTCATGTATCTTTTTCCTATTCATTTCTTTCGATTCAATGTTTATGGTTCTATTGATGTTAGTTTGTCAATTTATTCAAGGAATGATGATTTTAATGGTTGGGTTTCATTTTTCACTAATTTGTCAACTATTTTTTTTTTTTTTTTTCTGTTAACATTGTTTCTTGACAAACATACCAAGTGTTCCACGAAATTCCTCAATGAGTATAGACGCTAGGTATGATTTCTCTGGTTTGGCTTTTTTATTATTTTTTTCAAATGTTTGATCTAGATCTGTAATCCAAGTAATTTTTTATACAAGAAAGCTCAGGCCCATTTATTTGACCATATTGTAGTAAATAACATTTGCCCGCAGGACTTAAGCAAAAAAACTAACACCCATCGCTATTAAAAAAATTAAGTCAATTATACTTTTATTATTGTAATTATTTGATTAGGTCATTTACATGATATCATGATTTATCCCTGACTTATGTTGACTTATCTTATTCACGGGCTAAAATTAGAGTTAGAAAAAGCTTCTACTTCTTTGAGGAGCAATGCAATTTACTTTAGGGATTCACACATTAATGGATTTCCATAGTAAGACCTCTATTCACATGTGTTATTAATTGATATTGTTGTTTGTTATGGATTAGCAGAAAATAGGAGAAGGTTTATAGATAAATATAGTGTGTGTATTTAAGTGACAAGTACCATATTATGGCCTCTATGCATATATGATAAATACCATATTATATCATCATTGTTTCCACCAAACAATGTCTATATGAGCCTATTTATAGCATTTTATATCAATTGTATAAAACGGGGGCGTAATGGTAATTTATTTGATAAGTCTATAACACAAGTTGTGCTTTGTGGCTTATTTATGAGGTAAATGCATAAAATATCATTATACTTTGAAATTGAACCTATACATACATAAAATTCAGGAACAAAATAGGGGTGGGGTATAATGGTCAATTTGATTGGTTGGACTGTAATTGAAGTTATTGACATCAAAAGATTGAATATGATAATACAATGTTATTTAATTGTTTCTGTTACTTTTTTGTGTTTATATACCTCTAAATAGCAATGTTCTTTCAATTGTATGTCTCATATAACATCCTACTTTCATAGATAAATAATTTTTAAAAATAAACAGGGACCTTTTTTGTAAAGTTAGTAAAACAGGGTCCATTCATGTATTTACATTTCCCTAATATTAAAATATGGACCATTTATGTAATTTATATATTTTTTTATACAACTTCATTCCCTATCACCTCTGTAAAATATAGCATCTTACAATTATTTTTATTCTAAATTCACTGAATAATGATGCTATGTTAAAGTACATAGCTATTTACTTTTAATTTCTGAATACCGGCAGTTTCTATTAATTTTGAAAAAACAAAGACCATTTCAGTAAACTTTTAAAAGTAGGTCCAAAGTAATATACCTTAGTACATGAAGAAAACAAATCCAGCCTATGGAGCACTTATAACTATTTTCATCCCCTTAATACATGAATAAATTATCTTATTATGCCATGAACATACCATTATAATCGACAAAGATACAAATACAAATTCATAAAGGGTACTGCTAAATGTAAGAATTACCTACGTATTTCAATTTTTTGTATATTATATTATTATATTGACATTTTAAAACACATACCATATTTTTTTAGTTTAATAACTAACTTTTAAACAATTGCACAAAATAACATGGACTTCCATAAAAAAACATATTTGTATATATTCACTAATAAATACATTTGCAAATGATTAAAAATTTCATGCTAAAATGTAACATGTCATCTTTTTAACATTTTTCTTATTTTTTGTTGAAATTGTTTACCTTATTATGGTTCTTGGACAAATTTATGATTCTATTTTATGCTTCTATTTGAATTTATGCTTCTTCTTATTTCATGCTAAAACGTCACATGTCATCCTTTTAAAATTTCTAAACTTTGATATCTTATTTTATTAGACAATCAAATTTATGATTCTATTTAAATTTATCAACCGTGGTTCCTACGGGTTATAACCTAGTATGTATGTATATATATATATATATATATATATATATATATATATATATATATATATATATATATATATATATATATATATATATAGATATAGAGGCATGGGCGGCTCAATCATTTTAGGGGCTCTAAGCAAGCAAAAATTTGGGGCCCTTTAGCCTTTATTATACTCGGAAATAAAAAACAGATGAAATGAATATGTCGCAAAAAATAGAATCAGTAGAAGAATACAATGTCGTTTCAGTTTCATAAATGCAACGATCATTGATTTATTCTTTCGCTTCATTTATTTTGTGGTTACCAGATTGGTTTTTTTAGTGGACTAAACTTTTAGATTTTAGAAAATATAGCGCCCCTTAGAATTGGGGGCCCTAAGCCCTAACTTAAAAAACACCTACATAAAGCCAGCTCTGTATAGAGGTTCCGTTGAGAATAAAAGTAAAATAGAGATCTTGAGATTTAACCTCAGCCACGTATTTCACATTTGCCGCTCTAACCTTCCGGCGTATCAGTGCGGCAGGCCTGGTATAATTTATTATACAACGCCGCCCATTCCTTTCTCCACCACCACCATCCCCACCACCATAACCGCTACCGCCACCACCACTACCATAATCTCTGATGCCAGGCGGCCCCACCACTGTCACCTCCATTACTTATACCACCACAACATTTGTCGTCACCTCATTTTCTGCCACCAACTGTCATAATCATTAATGATTACTCAATCTATGAACATACATACATGTATAATCATTTATGATTAGTGAT